CTTCATGCACTTGCTGGGTTTAATTCCCTAGTTGTTTTAATCTGGATAACAAGATTGAATGTTGACTGAAATGCAGTGTTGGGTGGAGTTACTTATCCTGTATTTTTTAATGAAATGTGAAGTTGTTGAAAGGGTTCTGAATTTACAGGCGGCCTGTTGTCTGGGGCTGTAGTGCTGCTCTGAATACTGCATTGTGAAGGAGCTGAGAAATTAAAATTGGTTCTTCTATATCCATTAGCAAGTTGAACTATGAACTTGCCATTCTGATTTGCCACAACATATTCACTGGTACACAGTCATTAAAGTAAAACATTTACACAGTGCTTGTCTGCCCTAACTTCAGAGAAGGGCCAGGGTGTTTGCAAAGTGTGGAGGTTTCCAGTAGCTCACTCATGGCTCAGTTCTATTTCATAATGCACTTCTACCCTAGTTGATTTGTCCTCAAGTAAAAGAATTTAGAACCACATCAAGACAGATGGAACCTTGTCCAACTATCCCTACCCCCATTTCCAAATGAGGAAACCGAGGCTTAAAGAGACAAGACTTGCCCCAAAGTCAACAGAGGAACAACAAAAGAGGGACGAAGATGCAGACACCACCTCTCCCTGGGATGGCAGGGAGCGGGTAATGTTGATGTGGCTCTTAAAGGAGGAGTGGGCATTTTCCAGGCAGGACTAGAAAGGAAAGGCAGGAGCAATCTCATGGGCACAAAGGCGAGAACTGGCAGGATTTACTGCAGGGTTTGGAGGTGAGGTGGAGAGGGCTGAGGACCTGGGAGGCCCAGCTGAAAAGCTGATAATGGAGTCAGCGCCAAAATGACAACTCCATTCGTGGCAGGGTGGCCAGACCAAGGTGTCCATCACATGGTCAACTGGCCACACGGGCAGAGTCCTAACTGACAGCTGAGCCCTGGTTCAGGGCAGATGGGAAGGAACTGTCAGCTCCTGGGCCAGCCAGGGACACCACACCTGCTCATCACCCCCACCCTATCAGTTTCAGTTTCTGACCCACCTCACCCCATCTCCAGGGTATCTGAGCACCGAAGCTCCTCTGGGCACCTGTCGGGGCCAGCTGGGCCTGTTCTTCCACTGGCTGAACAAGAGGCTGCATTTGGGTGGGTCTCGGCCTAGAGGCCTCTTGCTTGTGTTGGCAGAGACAAAGAAGGGAGCAGGGAGGGCAGAGCTGGCTCCACCGGCCCCCAGCTTCATGGCCACCACCCTGAGATCCCAAGAGACCCTAGCAAAGTTTAGGAGAAGAACAGGAAGGGCTGGATACACCCCTAACCCTCTATCTTAACAGTGAGACAATTTGAATTTTGCTTTTTTTATCCTCCAGTTTTTCCTCATGCGTGTGGGGTTTTAGTAGTGAAATACATATATATATTATACATATATATGATATGTTTATTATATATAATTTTATATATTATATACATTATATAATTTTATACATTATATAAGTAATATATATGTGTGTGTATATATAATTTTTTCTTAATTTCAAAAAATCGTCTCCCGTTCTCCTAGTTTCATTCCGACTCAGTGCAAGGCTGGAAGCTTTGCCAGGAACTTTTCAGGGTGAGACATTATAATAGTGATCTAGACTGGATCTCACATAATTCTCTCTTTCCTAATTCTCCAGTTCATTAGAAATAAGGAAAACATGAAATTCCTAAACATCAAAGCTATTGCCTTGGGGCCGGCCCTGTGGCTGAGTGATTAAGAGGGCTCAGCTTCAGCGGCCCAGGGTTTCACGGGTTCGAATCCTGGGCACGGACGTGGCACCGCTCATCAAGCCACACTGAGGCAGCATCCCACATGCCACAATTGGAAGGACCCACAACAAAAAATACACAACTATGGGGCCGGCCCGGTGGCGCAGCGGTTAAGTGCCCACGTTCCGCTTCAGTGACTTGGAGTTCGCCAGTTCAGATCTCGGGTACGGACATGGCACCACTTGGCAAGCCATGCTGTGGTAGACGTCCCACATATAAAGTAGAGGAAGATGGGCCTGGATGTGAGCTCAGGGCCAATCTTCCTCAGCAAAAAGAGGAAGATTGGCAGCAGTTGTTAGCTCAGGGCTAATCTTCCTTAAAAAAAAAAAAATACACAACTATGTACTGGGGGGCTTTGAGGAGAAAAAGGAAAAATAAAATCTTTAAAAAAATAAATAAATAAAAGCTATTGCCAGTTGGAGGCCCCAAACACAACCAACCCACTGGCCAGTAGATGGTGCCAAAGGTTAACCACTGCCTTTGGGCTGAATGTCCAGTCTGGCGCCTTCAAACACTACTCAGGTCTTCATTCTGCTCCTAGATGGCTGCCTGCCATGTGCCGGGTCTTGAGCCGGGTTTGAGGGATATAGATGAGATGAGAAAGACAAAGTCTGATATCAATTCAGCCCATGGGCTAATTGCTGTGAAGGAGGCACCTAGAGAGAATTTGGCCAGAGGTGATTTCCGAGCTGAGCTGAGCCTGGTAGACAAGGTCGGCCTGGAGAAGAGGAGAAGAATGCTCCAGGAGGAGGAACTGCCCTGAGGTTCTAGGTGCGTTTGGGGAACAACTGAGAGTGGACAGAGAAGGCAGAGAAGATCAGGGCCAGACGGTAAAGTTCTTGGGTTGCTGCAATAATCTTTGGTCAGTGCATGAATGAAAGGGTGTCGTGAAAAAGTTTCATCTGAGGGGGATCGGCCCTGATGTGCACGTAGTGGGATCAGTCCCACTGCCCGTGGAGGCTGGGAGGGGGCTGAGAGAGGGGAGGAGGGAGGCTAGATCAAAACCCGAACACAGTGCGCCCACCCCCCGCCCCCACTACACTTTCATGATTGGTTCTTCCTCCCTCTGTATGCATTTCTCAGCTATATTCCAGGTCATTTGGTTAGGGCCGACACTGGTGCCTCCTCCTCAAACAGTCAGTGTGCTTGTGGGCAGGGCCAGCAGGGCCTGGGTGACATGTGGGTGTCCCCAGCCTGAGTTCCAGGTCTGAGAGGTCAGGCGTGGAGATGGGGAGAATGTGGGTTGCCGTCACAGAGTGAGTGGTCAGAGGAGCAGGAGCGAGGGGCCCAGAGGTGGAGTGAGCTGGTCAGCTGGGCCCTGGGGTTTGAATGCCTAGAGAGGGACTGCTGGCCTGCTCCCAGGAGCCCTGGGGCACTTCTCCACTGGGAGGTGGGCAGATGAAAACAGGTATGCAGAACAGATAAATCCAGCAAGAGCCAGCTGAAGGTGGCCAAGACATGGGGGCCGAGGGCCTGGATTGGGGTGGTACCCTGAGCATGGAGAGAAAGGACATTTTAAAGGAAAAATTTACCAGACTTGCAGCTGTCAGAACGTGGGGGCTGAGGGATGAGTCAAAGATGACTCAGAAGGTTTGAAGGTGAGTTCAAGGGAAATGACAGTGACCACCAACTCAGAGCAGGTGCAGAAAACACAGATGGGGGCTTCCGCAAGAAAGAGACTAGAGGGGGCTGGAAGGGGCAGTGGGAGAGTCCCCCACCCCCTCTCCCACGGCACACTGGACACCCCTGGCAGGCACAGCCTCCTGTCCCCAGTTCCCTCTCAGTTCCCAGCTCTTGGGCTGTACTGAGACTGCCATTGTCCTCAGGACGTCCTATGCCTAAGTGCGTCCATCGTGTCCTTGCTCACATCCCCAGCACCCGTTTACTGGACGCCCAACCACTTGGATGCCCCACAGACATTTAGACCCAACACGGGTGACACTGAACCGGTCACCTGCTGCCCCATGGTGACCGCAGCCCCACCCACACAGGATCTGCAGGGCTCCTTCACCTCACCCAGCCTGTTCTCTCACTCTCCTTGGTCTCTCCCAAGCCTGCCCCCTCTCCACCCGCCAACTCTGCAGCTATGGGCCCTCCTTGGGTCTCACTAGTCTCCACCTTCATCCGCTCCACGGCCAGAGTGGACACAGGTCTGACTGGGGCTCCTGGGAAGGCCTCCGATGCCTCCTAGGATCCTCGGGCCACATTTCGAGTCCCCTGGCCCAGTGCACTGCACCATCTGGCACCTACCTGCTGCTTGCTTCAGCTCTGCTGCCTACCCACTGCCCCATGCAGGCTCTGTGTTCCCCAGCCCCCATCACACCAAAGGCATCTTCCAGCCTCTATTTCCTTTCTGCATCACCTTCTCACTCTTCCCAACTGACTCCTAGTATTCCTTCTAGATTTTCCCTTTGCAAACACTGTTCCTTGTCCCAGATGCCCTTCCCTACACACACCCCACCCGGCATGGCACCAATGGCTAACACCGACCCTCCTCAGCTCTCAGAGGAGCTTCCAGGAGACCCAACTGGAGTAGTGCCCCACGCCCTCCCAGCACTCCTCAGTTTATAAGTCCATGTATTTGTGTGGTGTTGGCTTCACATCTGTCTCCACCATGAGGGCAGTGGCCTGATTTCATGCCCTTGTGTCCTGGGGCCTGGACACTGGCTTTCAGTCAACAGGCATTACATGAATGGTGCTCATTAAACAATGAGACCATTTCCCTTATCAAAATGGCCAAACTTTTTTTCAGCCATACTCAGTGCTGACAACAGTGGGAGAGAAGGGGGGGAGTGCTCACTGTACTCCCTTCTGGTGACAGCGTGTGGCAAGCTGATGAGGAAGTGACCACCCCATCCTCGACTTCCAGGAGCGGCCGCCCAAGCTGAGACTCAAAGGATGGGTTAAAACTTGCCACATGAAGAACAATTTTGGTACTTAAGTATCCCCAGTTTTACAGTTAGTCAGTGGGAAAACTGGTTTGCTCTGTGGAAATCCACTTTTGGAGCAACTCTAAAACACATATGGCCAGAAATAGGGGCCTGGCCACGTCACTCCACTTTCCCTCGCGCAGAGTCCATCATTTCCTTTGGGGCCCGGCTCTTCGCCCTCCGCCTTCCCCTCAGGCAGGGAGCCCAAAAACAGCAGATGGACACGAGTACAGGATAGCATCATGGTGGTTCGATGGCTGCCAGCACAAGTCACCCTATTTCCTATTCTCTGTCAGGAGAACAACGGCGAGTCCATCCTCTGAGCGCTCACTGTGTGCCAGGCACTAAGAGCTTCACTGGGATTAGTTCATGGCATCCTCCCACCGCCTTCCTCTTATCATCCCTACTGTGAAGATGAGAAGGCCGAACCACAGAGAGGCGGAGTAGCTTGCTCAGTCACAACCCAGCTGCACACCATCCTCCTTGGAGTCAACTGTGCCTCTTTCCAAAGTATGCACCACTTGCTATATAGTTATAATTTGATTCTGAATATTTCTCCAAGCTCTTTGCTAAACATCGATGTTTTAATTTTTTTTATTTTATTTTAGTTTTTGAGGAAGATTAGCCCTGAGCTAACATCTGCTGCCAATCTTCCTCTTTTTGCTGAGGAAGACTGGCCCTGAGTGAACATCCATGCCCATCTTCCTCTACTTTATATGTGGGACACCTGCCACAGCATGGCGCGCCAAGTGGTGCGTAGGTCCGCACCCAAGATCCGAACTGGCAAACCCCAGGCCGCCAAAGTAGAGCGTGAAACTTAACCTCTGTGCCACCAGGCTGGCCCCTAAACATCACCGCTTTTAAAAACAGCTTATGAGGTATAACTGACATGCAATGAGCTGCACACGTTTAAAGTACAACTTGGTATGTTTCGACACACGTTTATACCTGTGAGACCATCACTGCCCTCGAGACAGTGAACAGACTCGTCGCCCAAAGTTTCCACGTGCCCCTCTGCACCCCTCCCTTCTGCTCCCGTCGGCCCCGCCCCCCACAGGCAACCACCAATCCACCTCTGTCACTATAAATTCATTTGCATTTTCTAAGATTTTATATAAGTAACTGGCACCTTTCCTTCAGTGTAATTATTTTGCATATAGAACATTTACCATGATAGATTATATTCAGGGCAATAAAACAAGTCTCGATAAATTTGAAAGGATTTCAAATTTCAAATCATGCAAAGTATGTTTTCTAACCACGATGGAATTAAATATTAGAAATCTATAACAAAAAGATATCTGGAAAGCCTCCACATATTTGGAAACTAACACACCAATAAATTATCCGTGGGTCAAAGAAGAAATCAAAAGGGAAATCAGAAAGTTATTTATTTACTTTAATAAACATGTTCATAGCAGTTACTGTGTGCCAGGCCCTGTCCCGGGAAAGTTCCAAAACCAGAATGAGCTCATTTAAGCCTCATAACAACCGTATAAGGAATACATTATCATACCCATTTTACAGATGCTGAACGGGAGGCACAGAGAGAGGAATTGACTTGCTGGGTCACAAAGGCAGGCTGTGGCAGAGCTGGGATTTGAATCCAGGCCCTGGACCCAGAGTCCATGCCTTGCATCCCAGCTTAATAGGACACTGAAAGGTTTCAGATGGAGGAGGAAAATGGTCAGATTCCCCTGACAGCAAGATCACTTTGGGACGAGTTCAACAAATACTTAGGAGCTAAATCTGCAGAACTTGGAGATATATTAGAAGTACAGAGTTGAGGAAGCAGGAGGAGGCTAAGTAGAAAAGGAAGAGAGGTGGGAGTGGGAGAGCAGGGTTTGAAGGGCTCAATGCCGCGGATGAGCATGTGTGGCTCACATCCGGAGGGAGAGGTGCCCACATTCTGAGAGCCTGTTTATATCCGGGGATCCACTTGGGCCTGGTGGGAAGAGGTCCCTGAGGAAATTTGTGAGCTGAAGCTCCACTAGGACATGAATTAGAGAAAAAGAGAGAGAATAGTGTCCCAGGCCGAAGGAACAGCATTTGCACAGCCCTGTAGCAGTAAATCATGGTGTGTGATTTAAAGAGGAGAGTGTTGGGCCTGCCCTGTGGCCAAGTGGTTAAGTCCCACTTCGGTGGCCCAGGGTTTCACCAGTTCAGACCCTGGGCAGGGCCATGGCACCGCTTGTCAGGCCATGCTGAGGCGGCATCCCACATGCCACAACTAGAAGGACCCACAACTAAAATATACAACTATGTACTGGGGGTATTTGGGGAAAAAAGCAGGAAAAAAAAAAGAAGATTGGCAACAGTTGTTAGCTCAGGTGCCAATCTTTAAAAAAAATAAAAAATAAAAAAAAAATAGGAGAGTGACAGGGAGCACGGTGGGAACCGAGGGGAAAGGGCAGGTACGGGCACCCTGCAGGGCCTGGCAGGCCTGGTTAAGGAACCGCCTTTCTCCTAGCAGTGATGGGGTGTTAGCAAGGGTTTCAGGAGTGTGTGGACGAGGGGACTGACAGGGTAAGATCTGTGTTCTCAAAGCTCACAGGGGGAGGCAGACCCGAGCAGAATCGGAAAGCAGTCAGGTGCCATGGAGGTCTTGCAGGTGAGCTGATGGGTGTGTGGGCAGCTGCGAGGGACTGGGGGAGGGGGTGCAGGATGAGGACTGAGAAGTGGATGGATTCAAGAAGTCTTTACCAGGCAGAAGCAGCAAGGCTCATGCCAGATCCCCTGTGGGGATGCTGGGGGGCAGGGGGGCTCTAGAAGGTGGTGGGATAGTCACAATGGGGGGATGCTGGGGGTGGTGGGGGGGCCGGGGGTGTGATCTCAGCCACCAGGTCTGGAGGTACGCGTCCTGGCTGGGGCTTTGCTGTGAATCATCTGCACATAGGTACTCTTCCAGGAGCTCCAGCAACAGGCCAGGGAGAGAGCACGAGCCAGTAGAGGAGACAGAGAAGCAGCAGCCAGGGCCCCGAGGGAAACCACAGCACCCTGATGGTCTCCAGGAGAGCAGTGGTGGTTAGTGGGGAATGTTACCCAGAGGTCAAAGGGGACAGGACCAAACACCTCCTTGTATTTAGTAACTGAAGCAGGCAGGCAGGGGAGAGCTGGAGGACAGGAGGATTTGAAATAACTGAGGGCTATTATAGGTAGAGCTTCCCAAAAAAACAAAGGTTCCAGGAGTGGCCTTGGGGCAAGTTCTCGGGGGAACAGGGGAGGTGAAGGCCCTAGAAAGTGAGAATTTCACAGCTGGGGCTTTGAATAGCTCATCTACAAGGAATCTTAAACCTCCTGGGCAACGGCAAAAGTGGGTAGAAAGGAAGAAGTGGGCCAGGCCTCCAAGTCAGGAAAACGGGAGGGTGGCTGGTGGGCTACAAGTGGAGGAGGCGCTCGCAGCGGTGGAGACCTGACAGCGATGGTGGCGAAAAGGAACCAGAGCACTACTGCCCCTCCCCTTCCTCCGCCAGCCCCCACCCTCCACCCCCAGCCCAGCCCAGGCTGCAGGGAAAACCCGGGCCCAGGCGTGCAGACACAGCTGGGGTCAGAAGAACAGTGTACAACGTGCCCCAACAGATGCATAAGAACCCCCATCTACCCTTACCGCATGGCTTCTAGTTCCCATTCAATTTTCCCTATTTTAACGCTAGTCAGGACGCCCTGCGTTATTTGACACAGTCCCAATGGGTCTCAAGCCCCAGTTCGAAAACCTCCTTCCTGGAAAAGCTGGGTTTCCCTGGAGACAAGGAAGTGGAGGGAGCGTTCAGTCAAGCTTGTTTACACCGTAAGGAGCTTCCAGATTGCTCCCGAGGGCCCAGAGTGAAGGGAGGAGAGGGGAGGGGCAACGGCGGGAGGAGCTAGAGACAAAGGAGCCGAGAAGAGGTGGCCGGTTTCCGAGGGCGAGGCCGTGGGCGGGGCAGGGGTTCTCTACGCGCTGGGCCTCAGTTTCCTCAAACGTGAAATACCCTGGCTGTGGAGCTGGGCGATGTCTAAGGACCGCTATCCCTTCAAGAGTTTTACAACTTCATCTGGCATTGTTGGAAACGCTTTTAGAATTCTCATTTAGAAGTTGGCTTTGGGGGAAAGTTAATCACCCAACCCTTGAATTAGCTACTTCATATAGAGCCCTCATGTTACGTAAAATAGTAAGTACAAAAGACGGACTTTACAAAATCATGATGGTTGTACCTGGGTGAACACGCATTTGTTCACCAAATCTCAGAACTCCAGACTAAGGGCCCCTCAGTGTGAAGGATGCAGTTTTACGTAAACCAAAGGTAAACAGAAATCCCCAAGGGATTGCACATGGGTTTGGAGAATTCGAGACTGTGTAAGTGTCCATTTCAGCATTTCCTTCTGCATACGGTGGGCCATAAGCACAGGACCAGCCCTGAAGTGTAGGCAGTGGCCAGCGTTCGGGGTGGCGGAGGTTGGGGGCAGGCCCTTGGAAGTACCTGCTGGCGCTGCTCACTGTCTGCCCCACCTTAGCCTGAGAACCAGCCCCCTGGAGCCCCATGAGGGCCTGGGGGCTCCCCTTCGCCAAACACGACCCCTACCTCCCAGGGAGGTCGCCCTTCTCACGAAGGCAGAAACCAGGGGTCGGCCTCGCCTCCCCATCCACATGCCCCAGTCACACCTCGCTTACACCCCGACGTGGCCGGGCACGTCTGCACCTGCTAACTGGGCCACGTGCCCTGGGCCTCTGCGTAACGAGGCTCTGGCCGGGACCTGTTGCCCAAATTCCAGGGCTCTGAAGCCATAACCGCTGTCCCAGGGGAACAGATGCCCCTCCCCGTACCCCTAAACCCGGCCCTGAGCCTCTGGGGCTACGTGTGAATGGAGCACCAGACCCCTCAACACGGCCTCACAGCTCTAACCCCGGCCCTGGCCCGGCTCGCTGGCCCTGGTTCCTAGCACTGCTCCCGCGGGCCCTGGTGCTGGGGGACCCAAGCTTACACAACACGGGCACTCTCCAAAAATTAGAAGTTGGGGGGCAGCCCTGTGGCCGACCGGTTAAGCTCGCGCACCCCACTTCCACGGCCCAGGGTCTGGGCCAGTTCAGATCGTGGGCGCGGACACGGCACCGCCCATCAGGCCATGCTGAGGCGGCGTCCCACATGCCACAACTGGAAGGACCCACAACTGAGAATACTTAACTATGTACCCCGGGGGACTTTGGGGAAAAAAAGGAAAAATAAAATCTTTAAAAAAAAGATTTGCTTTATAAGAAGTTGACTTTTGCGGATTTCATAAAAACACGAGCAGGGGCACTCAGCCCGCGGCCGCACTCCCCAGGCCTGCACGGCGACGGGCCACCAGGAGCGCCATTCAGCCGGTCCGCGCCGGCGGGGCTGGCAACTCGGACAGCCGGGGCGGGGATAAGGCTGGACGCCACAAATACGTAAGACTTTCCCGAGAATTCCGGGCCGCGCATGCGCGGAGAGGCGGGCGCGGCGGCGCGCGCGGCGGCCGTTGGGGGACGGGCGCTCGGGCCGTTCCTGCGTGGGGTCCGCGCGCGCCCGCGGGAGGGGCGGGCGGCGGCCAGGGCGCAGGCGCAGGCGCGCGGCCGCGGCGGCGGTTGGGGAGGGTGCTTCCGGAAGGTTCGGGAGGCTTCTGGAAAAGGCGCCGCGCGCTGGGCGGACCCGCCTCTATATAAGGGAGGCGCGGGGGCGGCGCGCCAGTTGCTCCTGCGTCCTGGTGCTGCGTCGTCGCGGAGCCCGTGCGGTCCCTTAGCCGAGGTGAGGGGGCGGTGGGGGGGCCCTTGGGGGGGAAGTGGGGTTCAGGGGGCGGCCCGGCATAGTCCGTGGGCGGCTAGGGTCCGGGCCAGCCCTCGGAGACCCCGGCCCGCAGCGTGGGGGCAGCCATGGTCGTCCTCCTCCCCCCCCACCCCCGGCAGGCCTCGGGCCTGCGGCGGCCCCGACCCTCCCTCCCCGGGAGCGGGCGTCCCGGATGCGCCGGAGGGGCGCAGGGGCCGGGGGCGGCGCGGGGGCCCGCCCGGGGCGGCGGAGCGTCTTGGCCGCCGGGAAGGCGTCTCGCCCAGGCCGCCTGCGGCCGGCCCGCGGGGAGGGGGCGTCGGCGTCATGGCGGAGCGGCCGGTCCCCGGGGCGGCGGGGCGGCCGGGTCGCCGGCCTGAGGCCGCCTCGAGGCGCGCGCACGCTCCTCGGATGATCGCGGCGCGAAATGAGGTCATCCCTTTGTCAGCCGGCCTGCTGCTTTCGGTTTTCTTAAATGCCGCTCTAAAAATACTTGCGGGACGCGGTTGGGTCGTGTCGTGCCGCTGTCGCCGTCCTGCGGTCACTAACGTGGCGCGGTGTCCTTTCCAGATGCCCGAGGAAACCCATACCCAAGACCAGCCGATGGAGGAGGAGGAGGTGGAGACGTTCGCCTTCCAGGCGGAGATCGCCCAGTTGATGTCATTGATCATCAACACTTTCTACTCAAATAAAGAGATTTTTCTGAGGGAGCTTATTTCGAATTCGTCAGATGTAAGTCTGTCGCTAATGTAGGTTTGGGTTTTGGTTTCGGTATTGATTTACCGCCGAGGGGCTCTGCTTAACAATGTGCGTTTCGTAATAGGCTTTGGACAAAATCAGATATGAGAGCTTGACGGATCCCAGCAAATTAGACTCTGGGAAGGAGCTGCACATCAACCTCATTCCCAACAAGCAAGACCGAACGCTCACCATCGTGGACACCGGCATCGGAATGACCAAGGCCGATTTGATCAATAACCTTGGTACTATCGCCAAGTCTGGGACCAAAGCGTTCATGGAAGCTTTGCAGGCTGGTGCAGATATCTCCATGATCGGCCAGTTTGGTGTCGGGTTTTATTCTGCTTATCTGGTTGCTGAGAAGGTGACGGTGATCACCAAACATAACGACGATGAGCAGTACGCCTGGGAGTCCTCCGCGGGCGGATCCTTCACCGTTAGGACTGACACGGGTAGGCACCTGATCGCAGAATTTCCTGGGCCGCTCACTCACGTGGAGGGTGGGGTGCTGTAGGCGCTGGACCCCTGAAGATGCTGTGAAACTTGCGGAAACTTGTGTTTGCCCGACATGTTAGGGAGCAAGCTAGTGCGCACGTGGTAGAGTAACAGCATGACCTTGTGGTGATCGATCGTGGGCGGAGCAGTTAGCTACTCTGGAAGTCTTCCCTTCTGTAGTAATGGTAGACCGTGCTTCCTAGACTTGGTCAGAAACGGTTAGGTGTGGTGTGGAGAGCTGAATTGATTATACTTTTTTCCCCTTGGTTTGGACATTGAGATTGGATTTGAGTCAATTTCCCTACTTCCTTTTTAGGTGAACCTATGGGTCGTGGAACAAAGGTTATCCTGCATCTGAAAGAAGACCAAACTGAGTACTTGGAGGAAAGAAGAATAAAAGAGATTGTGAAGAAGCACTCTCAGTTTATTGGCTATCCCATTACTCTTTTTGTAAGTTTCTAAGTATCCTATATGTAGAAAACTGTTAAGTGACTTAACTGAAATCCTTAGTCTTTGGATTTGTTGATGAGGAGAAGACACAAGTGTGTATTTATCGGACTAGTCTAAATTTTTAGTCTCTCAGGGTACCCAAAGCTGGTTTACTTAGAGCCATCAAATATTGATGAGAAGCTTCCTGGCTAATTAATGTCTCTTAGCTTGGCTGACTTAATTTAGGCTTTAGTGTAAGAGTGTAAGTGTGCCCACACCACTGAGCTTTTTTTAGTTCTAGAATGCAGAGGTGATGTGATTTCATGTCTTTTGAAGGTGGAGAAGGAACGTGATAAAGAAGTCAGTGATGATGAGGCTGAAGAAAAGGAAGACAAAGAGGAGGAAAAAGAAAAAGAAGAAAAGGAGTCCGACGACAAGCCTGAAATAGAAGATGTTGGCTCTGATGAAGAAGAAGAAGAAAAGAAAGATGGTGACAAGAAGAAGAAGAAGAAAATCAAGGAGAAGTACATTGATCAGGAAGAATTGAACAAAACAAAGCCTATTTGGACCAGAAATCCTGATGATATTACTAACGAAGAATATGGCGAATTCTACAAGAGCTTGACCAATGACTGGGAAGATCACTTGGCAGTGAAGGTGAGCGACTGCTGAGTGCCGGAAGGCTAGTCTGCCTCTGCAGGTTGTGTATCTCAAGTTGCTAAATGTGAGGGGTGTCGCTGGCAGCTTTTTCATCCGGTTACTCTTCATTCTCCCAGAGTGTGCTGATCTGTCAGGTTAAGCAGCTTTCAGTGAAAGGTGCTTGCAGTCTGGTGATTATGACTTAGCGTGTGTGTGTTTTATTGCAGCACTTTTCAGTTGAAGGACAATTGGAATTCAGAGCCCTTCTTTTTGTCCCAAGACGTGCTCCCTTTGATCTGTTTGAGAACAGAAAGAAAAAGAACAACATTAAGTTGTACGTTCGCAGAGTTTTCATCATGGACAACTGCGAGGAGCTAATTCCTGAATACCTGAGTGAGTACTGCTGGGTGTAAAAGTGGGCACTGGCTCTGGCTAAAGAAATTGATTCTGTCAACTCCAGATTCTTAATTGAAGCATATCGGGGGGGGGGAATCATCTGTCTTCGATTTTGGGGGTTTACCTGTTTGTCGATTTTTGTCTTTAGAAGGACTTTGAGTGCATTTGGTCTTTGTTTTTTCAGATTTCATTAGAGGTGTGGTGGACTCTGAGGATCTTCCTCTAAATATTTCCCGTGAGATGTTGCAACAAAGCAAGATTTTGAAAGTTATCAGAAAGAACTTGGTCAAAAAATGCTTAGAACTCTTCACTGAACTGGCAGAAGATAAAGAGAACTACAAAAAGTTTTATGAGCAGTTTTCTAAAAACATTAAGGTTGGTATAGACACATTTGACCATTAGTAGGGGTAGTCAGATTGGCTTCTCAATTTCAAATGATTTTTAATGCAGAAGTAGTCTTCCTAAAAGTCATGTTATCTTTCAGCTTGGAATCCATGAAGACTCTCAAAACCGCAAGAAGCTTTCAGAGCTATTAAGATACTACACATCTGCTTCTGGTGACGAGATGGTTTCTCTTAAGGACTATTGCACAAGAATGAAGGAAAACCAGAAACACATCTATTATATCACAGGTAACGGACAGTACATGTTACAATCATATTGCTTTCTTATAACCTTATAGGAACTGTGGGTGTGTTTTCTGGCTATATAAGTTAAGTGTTGGTGTAGGCAAGGTAGTTAACGAGAGCTAGCCTGTATCTGGTTAGATCTGACTCGACAGGAAAAGTTGAAGTGAAAGCACTTCCTGTAACTTTGCACTGTCTCAGGTGAGACCAAGGACCAGGTGGCTAACTCGGCGTTCGTGGAGCGCCTCCGGAAGCACGGCCTAGAGGTGATCTACATGATCGAGCCGATCGACGAGTACTGCGTGCAACAGCTGAAGGAATTCGAGGGGAAGACTTTAGTGTCAGTCACCAAGGAGGGCTTGGAACTTCCAGAAGATGAAGAAGAGAAAAAGAAACAGGAGGAGAAAAAAACAAAATTTGAAAACCTCTGCAAGATCATGAAGGACATTTTGGAGAAAAAAGTAGAAAAGGTATGTAAACACACTGTTTTCACCTCCATTTCCTAGTTAACTCTTTTAGCAGCTCTGTTGTTAGGTGTTTCTCCAGACTCGACATGTACAGTCCCTTTCTCCTCATAGCGTCTCAAATGGAAAACTTCAGCCTTTCAGTTTTGTGGTGCACACAAAGCTCCTGAGATCGTTACAGATCTGGAAAGTGTTTGCATACTTAAATTCGGAAGTAGTATCTCTGATCCCTGAGGACTTGGGTTCTTTCGATTTCAGTTCATAGTAAACCTGATTCAGGTGGTGCTGAAAAGTCTTAAAATAGTAGAAACTTTCTAGGCCTAGTCATCACTTAATGATTTGATCATAGGTGGTTGTGTCAAACCGATTGGTGACATCCCCATGCTGCATTGTCACAAGTACATATGGCTGGACAGCAAACATGGAAAGAATCATGAAGGCTCAAGCCCTAAGAGACAACTCAACAATGGGTTACATGGCTGCAAAGAAACACCTGGAGATTAACCCTGACCATTCCATCATCGAGACTTTACGGCAGAAGGCAGAGGCTGACAAGAATGACAAGTCTGTGAAGGATCTGGTCATCCTGCTCTACGAAACTGCACTCCTGTCTTCCGGCTTCAGTCTGGAAGATCCCCAGACACATGCTAACAGGATCTACAGGATGATCAAACTTGGTCTTGGTAAGCCTTGTACAGTACCATGTTACCAGGAAAAGAACCTTAAACATGTGACTGTTGAAAGGGGTGCTCAGCTCTTTGAACAAGATTGGGTTATGTCCCCCAGAAACATTCAAGTCATGTGTCAAAGGGGTAAACAAGCCTTCTGATAATAAGGGCTAAAAATTTGAGATCCACATACCCTGGGATTGCTCAGCTTTGAAAGTGGCTGTAAACCAGCAATGTTAGGGTAATTAGCTGCCCCTCAAGAAATCTAATACAAGGGTTTTATTTCTTAAAAGGTATTGATGAAGATGACCCCACCGCTGACGACAGCAGTGCTGCTGTAACTGAGGAGATGCCGCCCCTTGAAGGAGATGACGACACGTCACGCATGGAGGAAGTGGATTAAGCTCTGCCTGACGAATTCCTTGTACGCGTGTTCAGTACTCTCTCTCCATTCCCTCTGATAATATATTTTCAAGGATTCTGTTCTTTATTTTTGTTAAGATTTTAAAAATCTGTATGGCATGGCAATAACTACATAAGGGGATAAGATTCTTTGTGCTTCTCAGTGTGAAACTGTGATTCTTTAGGCACTAAAGCAGAGCTAGTTTTTCTTTTCTAGTTTGATGTTGGCTTATTTTAACAGATAAGGTAACGTTTGTTGTAAGATGTGTGTAACCTGATGTTAACTTGGTGGTCTGAAATGTTGAGCTTAATCAGGCAGATTCCTTATTAGTACACCAAATCTTTTGTCATTTAGGTGTTCTGAGATAGACTGATGTTTAAAAGAAAAATATTTGTTAAAACAATTTCGTCTTCTAGAATCTACTTTTTAAACTTTCCATCCCCGGTAGTTACCAATTGCATGTGCAAGGCCTCTAGAAATTAGTATGTTAAGCTGAACCAACTTGATGTGAGTTAACTACCCATAGGGCTTGTTTTCCAAAGAAGAGTACTGTGTAGAGTAGTAGGACAAGTGTGAGCTGCCCTGGGCTTGTGGTGAAGCTGTCGGAAAGTGACTCGGCAAGTTTTGTGAATGGCAGTGTGGTGCCCAAGTCACATCCTGCTTTAAAAGATTGTAACAAATACAGACGAAATAAAAAAGAAAATGTGGAAATGTTGTCTTTGGGGGAAGGGGTTACAGATGACAGGGTGGCCCCAGAATGTAAAAATGTTAGGCAGACACGTGTTGCCTAGTATGAGGTTCAGGGACGGAGGTGGTTAACTTTGACTGCCCTAAGTCTCAATGTGCCCTTCCCAGGGTGCACGCAGGTGGGGTGGTGATGAGCAGGTTCTAGAAGATGATGAGAATGGGTGTGTCAGACAACGTGCGTTCCCTATATCCACGTTACATGTACTAATAGACAACCGTCCATCGTTCCCCTAGGATTTTCGTGTCAAGCTGCTTTTGGATGGTATTTGTAAAGCGTGCGTTATGCTCTAAGTAGAATTCTGTGATATCTTGGCATTCCATCTCTCAGTTCAATACCATATCTACTTAGTGCTATCCCACGTGGAATCATCTTTCCTTGTTCCTGCTCAGGCAAGGCGATGTTGGAGGTGGTTGCTGTGAGCAGTAGGTAACAGCTGATGGGGGAGGGTGAGCCTAGGCCTTACAAGATAAACAGCTGAATAGGCAAGGACCCTGCCAGGCGCAGTGACGGCTAAATCAGCCTTCCAATCCTAAAATTGTGGTTTTGTGTATGAGGAAGATTGGCCCTCAGCTGCCACCTGTGCCTGTCTCCGTTTTATGTGGGACGCCACCACAGCGTGGCGTGACGGCAGTGCTGGATCCACACCCAGGATCTGAATCTGCAAACCCTGGGCTGCTAAAGCAGAGTTCACAGAACTTAACCAGTACACCACCAGGCCAGCCCCAGGTGATTTTTAAAGTGGATGGTATGTCCATACAGGGTCTGGATCCTGAGCCTGACGGCTTAATGGGAGGGCAGGGAGAGGACTTGGGATCCTATGTACCATAAAGGGTGAGTACCCTGGTGCTCAGTAGGTGCTGAGTGCCTCGTAAATGCCGGACACATTTAATCCCAAAAATCCTCTGAGGCAGAGTTGTTAGTCCCCTTAGACAAGTGAGAGGAATTAAATTGAGGTGTCAACATTTGAATCCAAGTTTCACTGCGAATTGTCTTTCTCCTCTTGTGCTGCTTTCTGAAAGACATTCCCCACTGGGAGGAAGTGTGCTGTTTGCCTGGTAGAACTAGGGATTGAATGGCAAGAAGACAAAGGGGGATTTTCTTTCATGTTTCCAGTGTCTAGTAAGGACATTGAAGATTCTATTCCAATCAAGAACAGGCGTTTGAGGGACCCAACAAACTGACGACCTCCCTATGAACCATCTCCTGACTGAACACGGCCTGCCCGCGTAGCTGGGAAAGCATTTATGGCAAACAGAAGGGTCCTTACTGTGTATCTGGAACTGTCACCCAGTAACCCCTAGGCTAGAGAAGACCACCAAGAAGAGGGATGCCCAGGGCAGTGGCTGAGAAGTTGGGCTGGAACACGCGTGAACACCGTGCTCGGGGTGTCCTCCCACGGCTCCGGGAGTCCCTGGCCTACTGAGAGGCCAGTGCTGCTTCACACCTTCCGTAGTCTAGTCCTGTCCTGCCGAGGAGGGTGGGAGATAGTGAACTTGAGATCAGTGTAGAAAACCAATAGGGTTTGTGTTAGCAACACACAATCGTGAATGAAATCTGTAGAAATTCATTCACGATCACACTAAAAGTGAGTGTGACTAAAGGTTTTGCAAGCCCTGTACACTGAACTAGAAAACGTTGCTGACAGAAATCAGAGACCTAGATAAAGGGGAGACGCAAGGCTCGCTGTTGGAAGACAGCTCATCCAATGTGTGGGTTCTCCTCAGAAGCTTCGTGTTAGGAAGCCAGACGCAAGGCTATGTGCTGTCTGATTTCGTCGTCGTAAAACTAGAACAGGCAAGACTCTCAGAAGGTGGATCAGTGGGTGGCCTGGGGCCGCGAGTCCTGGTGGGAGTCGGTGCACCTCCTGCACCTCGTCACTGCATTTGTATAATTGCAGGTCTGACGTTTTCTAGGTGGTGGGCTTAGCAGGTACCTGGCATTTAACAAGTGCTCACCAATCGATAGCATTTACTCCCGAGGACTCTGATGTCTGCTCCGAGAGACCTTTCTTCCCTGTCCTGTGAACTTCCCTTACACAGAGTCACTTCCACCACATATGTTCTTCTGCAGTGTGATCCCCTGAAGCCCTAGCCTAAGCCTCGCCTCCTCCAGGAAGCTTTCCTAGACCACTGCCCTCATTGTCTCTTGGTCCTCTGAACTTGTAGTAATTCCTACCAGGCATATAGTCATCACGTTTTTATTGCACACCTACTAAGAGGCAGCCCAGTACAGTTCAGTGGGGCCACACAGATGAAATCGGCCTCATTGGGGAAGGTTGGCAGAGCAAAATGAAGCAACAGTAGCCACAGTGAAGGCTGTGGAGGGGCTCGCTGCTGGCGGGCAGGGTTTGGGGAAGCTTGGCTGCTGACCTGAGTCCACCAAAGAGGGAAGTGGGGAGGCTTCCCAGGACGAGGGAGAGGGCGTTGCCAGCCAGGACGTGCTGGGTCTTGGGAAGGGACATGTGGGCAGTGTGAGTGACAACGGAGGAAGCTGGAGGGTGGAAATTGTTAACTCCATGTGCCTGGGGCCAGCCCGGTGGCGCAGCGGTTAAGTGCGCATGTTCCACTTCGGTGGCCCAGGGTTCGCCAGTTCGGATCCTGGGTGTGGACATGGCCCCGCTTGGCAAGCCGTGCTGTGGTAGGCATCCCACATAGAAAGTAGAGGAAGATCGGCATGGGTGTTAGCTCAAGGCCAGTCTTCCTCAGCAAAAAGAGGAAGAGTGGCAGTAGATAGCTCAGTGCTAGTCTTCCTCAAAAAAAAAAAAAAAAAAAACTCCATGTGCCTTGAGTGTTAGCCACAGCCTCTGAGCTGGATTGGGCCTCTGCTCTGCAAACTTACCTGGTGGGGAGGCAGTAGCCCATGGTCTGCTGTGGGTGGCCTCTTCAAAATACTGGAGCCTGTGCCCACCCCTTGAGAAATGTCCTTAGTATCAGGAATACTGAGGCAATTTCTAAGTCAGTTCCACCATCTTGTTCCATGAAATTGTCTCATCTTCATGCCAGGTGCCCCCTTATTCCATTGTGGCCCACGCCATCTCATCTTACAGATGGGAAAAGCAAGCCCCAGGGGGGTGGACGGGGGGCCATCTGGACTGAGGGAGGCCAGTACGAGGACATGTGCACATCAGCTTCCGCAGGCCATCTCCCCTGCACCCCCGGGCTGGGGTCTAAGGACGGATGTCCGCCCTCCCCTCGGCTCTGCTTGCAAAGACAGTTTAGGAGGAGCCGGGATGACCTGTCCTGAGTGTTGAGAATAGAGATGTTTGTTCACCAAACGTTTGTAACAGTGTCTGGCACGTGGCAGGTACTCAAATGTTTGTTAGTAAGTTAGACTAAGTACTTGACAGTTTACAAACACTGTAACTTACAGTTTCTCATTTCTTCTTTTATTTTTTTAACATTTATTTTGGAGATTTCCAAAACACATGCAAAAGTAGAGGGAGACAAATAATAAGTGTTGACGAGGATGTGGAGAAATTGGAACCTTCAGACACTGTTGGCGGGAATGTGAAATGGTGCCACTGTGGAAAATAGGCTGGCAGTTCCTCGAGAAGTTGAACGGAGTTACCCAGGATCCAGCGATTCCACTCTAGGTACCTACTCAAGACAAACGACACGCATGTCCCCAAAAAGGTGTACAGACATTTTCATAGCAGCAGCATTCATAAAAGCCAAAAGGTGGAAACAACCCAAATGTCCATCAACAGATGAACAGATAAACACAACGTGGCAATCCACACCATGGGATAGTATTTGGAATATTGTAGTATTGCCAGAGAAAGGAATGAAGTACCGGGGCTGGCCTGGTGGCACAGCAGTTAAGTTCGCGTGTTCTGCTTCGGCAGCCCGGGGTTCACCGGTTCAGATCCCAGGTGCAGACATGGCACTGCTTGGCAAGCCATGCTGTGGCAGGCGTCCCACGTAAAGTAGAGGAAGATGGGCATGGATGTTAGCTCAGGGCCAGTCTTCCTCAGCAAAAAGAGGAGGATTGGCAGCAGATGTTAGCTTGGGACTAATCTTCCTCAAAAAAAAAGAGGAATGAAGTACTGATTCATACTCCAATATGGACAAACCTTGAAAACATTATGCCAAGTGAAAGAAGCCAGTCACAAAAGGCCACATATTTACTGTATGATCCCATTTATATGAAATGTCCAGAATAGGCAAATAGATAGAGACAGAAAGTAGATGTGTGGTTGCCATTGGCTGCGGGGACAGGGGATGGGCAATGACCACTTAATCACGAGAATAGAGTTTCTTTTTGAGGTGATCACAGTGCTCTAAAATTGGTTGTGGTGATGGTTGAGTTACTGTGGTTACACTAAAAATCACTGACCTGTATTCTTTTATTTATTTACTTGTTTACTTACTTTTTGGTGAGGAAGATTGTCCCTGAGCTAACATCTGTGCCAGTCTTCCTCTATTTTGTATGTGGGACGCCACCACAGCCTGGCTTGATGAGTGGTGTGTAAGTCCACACCCAGGATCTGAACCTGTGAACTGGGCTGCTGAAGCAGAACATGCGAACTTAACCACTACACCCCGGGGCTGGCCCCGACCTGTACTCTTTAAATGGATGAATTGTATAGCATATGATTCATATCTCAATAAAGCTGTTATTTAAAAATTGCAGAAGGATTATAGTGGTCCCTCAAAAAATTAAACAGAATCACCACATGATCCAGCAATCCCACTTGTGTATATTTACTCAGAAGAAGTGATACCATGGACTTGAAAGATGTCTGTGTCCCCATGTTCATAGCAGCATTATTTACAACAGCCAGAAGGTAGAGATAACCCAAGTTTTCACTGACAAATGAAAGGATAGACTACATGTGGTATATTCACACGATGGAATCTTATTCAGTATTAGGAAGGAAGGAAGTTCTGACATGCTCAACATGGATGAAGCTCGAAGACGTTATGCTGAGTAAAATAAGTCACAGAAGGACAAATGATT